TGCCGCGCAGCAATCTCCAAAACCGAAACCTTGTTCTCAGTTTCGCTGTCCGCGGTGTCCCGAATGGCAAAACAAATCTCGCCCTTTTCTTCGATGGGATGTGCGGAGGCATGGCAAGGCGTGGGGTCGATGGACTTGTAGTCCTTGCCGATAAAGTCCCTGAAGAATGCGACCGTGTTCTTGCTGTTCCGCACCAACTGCGCCTTTGCCTGCGTGCCATGAAACTCTTCTCCCTCGATGTACGACAGGATGGACGGGATTTGTCGATCTCCTTCTTCGTTTGCTATGACCTCGACTTTGCCCTCGCCCGAGATATGTGCAATCGAGCTGTACGAATTCCCAAACGAGATACCAATGGCATAATGCTCGGGCGACCCTTGGGCCGGAACCCCGTTCGTGTCGTCACTCATGGCGTGGCTCAGTGGACCGGAAATTCAAGGGAGAGGCTTGGGTATTTGTAGAGGAGGTTCTATGCTCACGGGTATATCAAAAAGACTCGTAGCCCTGTGAAACCAACAATATGGTTGCGCACCTTGGACCGACAAAAATGCCATGGGAAACTTTTTTTTGAGCCTCGCGGCGGATATTCACGGCTCAAGGAAGGTTAAGCGAGTGCGTCCCTCAGCCTCGTCATATTTGAGCCACTTTTTCTGCAGCCTTGTCTCTGCCAACCCATCCGTGAAGAACTACAGGGGGGTTTTCTTTGACATTAAAAATTTTAGACAGTGTGGACGAGTCATGTCTGTCGAATCTATCATGCCAGTATTCCTGCCTGGGGACTTGATCCCCTCCGATCAGATCCCAACATCTCAGAAGCGCAAAATTGGGCGTGGACTCCAACAAGACGAACAGAATAACTTCCTCGCCACCATTGGGGGATACTTGGACATCGACTACCGTAAGAAGACGGCACAGATATCCACGCCAGATGCTCGCTATATCCCAAAAGCAGGAGACCTCGTGATTGCCCAAGTACGAATCTCAACCGCAGACTTTTTCCACGTCTACATCAACCCTTACTCTCCTCAGGCCTTCTTGCCACAGTTGGCCTTTGAGGGCGCTACCAAGAAGACGAGACCTCAGCTCAAGACGAACGACCTCGTCTACGCCAAAGTTGTCTCTGCACAGAAGAACATGGAGATCGAATTAAGTTGCGTGAATCCATCCACAGGCAAGGCAGAACCTGACGGGCTGGGTCCGCTTACCGGTGGAATGGTTTTCGATGTCAGTCCTGGTCTCGCCGACAGACTTCTCAAGAAACAAGGTGTCGTGGCGCTGGAGGAGTTGGGGTCGAAACTGCCTGGCGGGTTTGAGATTGCTGTTGGCAAAAACGGGAAAGTATGGGTCGATTGTCCTGAAGCCGGCGTGAAGGGAATTTGTGCAGTGGGGCGATGCCTCAGAGAGATGGATGAGAATGAGTTGAAGGAGAGGGAACAGAAGAAGTTGGCGAACAGGATCATAGCGGACTTGGAGCGTGGTTGATCTTATAACCTTGCCTGGTAATGAAAGGAGACTTCTGTCCCAGGAAGGGACTGCTCTCTAGGCGATACGAAAGGGTGAGAATGCACCCTAGCAGAGATTGATCTGCTCAAAGCGGCCGCAGAGGAATGAGCCAGTCATGCTAGCAAGTCGCAACCTGCGCCGCCTTCAGTGGCACATCTACCAACAAGTGGAGGACAGGCACCTGTGGTTCGTGACATCGACGTGACCTACGGCCAGGACATACAATGAGCGGGAAATCTACAGGAGATTCAAGAATATGCACACATCCGAGGTACATGTGGGCGACTGTGGACCAAGTGCAGAAGGAATCGAGACAGGGCTCAGAGGCAAAACAAAACGCAAATAGCGACGAGGAATCAAGATGCTTTTCGAAGATTTTATTGTTTCGCCTTCTGTACTACGAGTACATACTGTCCACGTTCCAACCACCATGACTTTGGGGTTAGCCTGATGCAAGGTCATAGGCTTTCCTCAACATCGGAACCCTGCCCTCCTCACGATACAACAGTAAAGTGTATGTTCACGCAGAATCCGGATGCCTCAGGCCCGGTCATCCCATGCAAGAAAGACTTTTTTTCGCGAAGGGTATTCCCCATTCGTAACTTGGAAAAGAATTCGACGCCGGTTTCGTTGCGCAAAAGAAGGAAATGATTTGTCCGCCATGCTCTCATAAAGTCTTCTTTTTTGCAAGATATCCGGAAACTCCCTGTCGTGATGGCATAGCTCCTGCGGAATCCATCTTCTATCGAGCAAAAATTCTCAATGCCGTCCCGTTTTCATCCCGTTTTGGTTTCGTTGTGCATTTACTTTCTTCGGAAAGAGCAGCCCTCTGTGAGACGGGCTTTGCCACCGGTGGGCTGGCAAAGCACAGTTGAGCAGCCCGCGCAGATGACGACGGTCTGGGCGTGGGAGAAGACGGTGGTGATCGTGAAGCAGCCAGGGCACTTGACGTCCATGAAGAATGATCGGGGTGCTGGGACGAGAGTCTAGTGTGGTTGTTAGATTTTTCGATGACTTATGCCCCAGAGACTGCGGGAATCCAAATCGTACCTTGAGCTTGTGCTTGCGGGCCTCAGCCTGAGGCGTTGGGTTTAGGAGATCGACCGCGAGAACCTGTAGTCGAGAATGTCAGCGCCTGGTCAAGATGAAGATGGTTGCGTTGGTGGTGGTTGGGTTTGTAGTGCTCGTGTGCTTGATAATGCGGGAGGACAAATTTTGAGTCCCCTCGATTTGTTGCATCATTTTGCGCAGGTGTACATACCATTTTGTTTGGTTTGTGGAGGTGAAATGAAGACTCTGTTCGATCCTGAGCTGTCTTCCGAAGGTCGAGGGTTGCGACGAAGAGGCGATGGATCAATTGATGTACTGCGATGGACGAGTGTGGTGGTAGAAATCGACTTTGAGGAGTCGTGGTTGTGCGGCCAACTGCCAAGGCCGCTAAGCCAAAAACTCCACACCGGCATCGTCTCTTACCATTCCCAGCCAATCACGTGTCTGTCTCTACTTTCGTCTTTGACTCACGGCTAGAGTCATCGAAACAGCCCAGGCAGCTCTATAGCACATTGTATCTACTTCTAGACGAATCTATAGCTTGTATATGGTTTCACACGCGGTGTTCACGGCCCCAAATTGCACCGAAAAGCCTCAGAACGGCACATCCATGTCCTCTACCCCCTCCTCTGTCCCTCCCGCCTTTCCCTGCGACGACATTGTATGTTTGATAAACCCTGCAATCATGTCTAGATATTGCTTTCCGCTCGGTACAAAGTGCCCTCCAGGGTGTGTCACAACTTGTGTCTTCTCTGCGCCTCCAGTTGCTTCGACCAGCGCCTGTGTTCTTGACTCTTCGACCACACTGTCGAGACTCCCGATAACATGACACACTGGGGTCTGGATATGGGGATCCTCGTAAAATCCGCGATATCTCTCACCGGGTGCCCTAAAGCCACAGTATGCTGCACAAAATTTGAGTGGTGGGTGACCGAGTTTCTCAAAGGATGATGGATATGGAATGGCTAGTGGGGATCTTGCTTGTGCCTTTTCGAACGCCTGTTTTCTCGACTCTCCTTCCAGTAACGAAGCAACCATGGCGGCTAGACATGCTCCTTGCGAGAATCCAATGACGCCATCGAAAGGTCCCTCTGACTCTAGAACTTTGGCGACTGTCTCCAGCCCTTCCTCGAGACCGACATATTCAGGTGGATCGGACGTATCTGACCGCCGCCACCAGCCGTAAGCTTCGATGCTGTCCGGATCTTCAGTCGAACTCAGGTCAAACCCCGGGACGTCGCTTGGCCTGAGCCGCAGAGGACCTGTTGGGTAGCTTAACGAAATCCCCGGGAATGCCTTCTGTAGATGCTTTTCCATTGCTCTTGTTTTTGCGTGGAACAGATTTCCATTCTGAGTATAACCATGAAGCATCAACACCTTGATGCCAGGACTGGACTCCTTCGTGGATGGCATAATGTTCAAGTGCCTGACTGTCTGTGGCTTTAGGAATCTCGAAAAGTTAGCTCTGGATAATATTGTCAAAATTGTTGAGGCTTGCTGGCCGAGTCGAAGGCTATTCATAAGAGGGTCGAGCGGCCAAAGCAGGACATATGGATGCACGAATGAAGAGGCTCCAGAATGCAAATGTTACGCGATGGAGATGGTCGGTTCAGCAAATCCCGACCATCGATTTCCTGCCAAGGCCGTGCCAAGCCTCTGCAAATGCTCCGAAATGTTTTTCCGCTCCAACGACCAACGACCAACAAAACCTTCTCTCCTCCACTACCAGCACTACCACCACATTTCCAAATGTTTACCACCTTCTAAAGCTTGAGGCTGGACAGACCAGGTAAGAGAGTTTGAGAATGTGCTCTATATTTGTTTGAACCACCGGTGTTACCCCGGCTATCCTCCACAGGGAGTCGCCCTCACCTCCGCCTGGAGAGGCCAATATGGGACCGACCTTGTTTCCATGGAGTGGACGAGGCTTGAAAAAACCATATCTCCGCTTAGGTGGTCCTGCAGATACTATCCATGTGGACGCAGGAGGACTATTTGGCAGTCTGCTCATCACATAAGCATGAAAATACAAAACCAGGAAAACTAAGAGCTGGCTTCACATGGTGCTGGGACGGCCTTTGCATCCTGAATGGATAACCAGATGGTTCAAAATACATGGTACGAGTCTGTCTTTGTGCAGCTAAGCACGAAGATTTTGGAAGAGGTAGGTCCTGAGGGAGGTCCTCAGCGCACACTGTGCACTCCCAGGTATAAGAATAAGCCCTTTCTCGCCTTTCCTGTGTAACCTCTATCTACCCTGTCTTCTCATCCTACATTGAGAGCGGAATTTCTTCCAACCATCTGCCACCTCTTTATATGTTGCAAACATCCTCTGTGTACTCCTCCTCAGGAATCTGTACCTCGAACAGTCTCCTCTAATCTCCAATATTCTGTCCTCTGGGAACCCTTGATCTTTCTCAGCTTCTCGTCAACATCTCTACTCCAAAATGGTTAACTTCGGTCCTGTCCTCGAGCGCATCAAGCGCCTCGATGTCCAATACAACAAACCAACTAAGGAGCTCCGGGGACGAGACACCATCCTGCCCATCGCCCTCACTTCCATCTTCATCTTCTTCATGTGGGGCCTCGCCTATGGCCTGCTCGACATCATGAACTACCACGTCAAAGTAGCCATGGGCATAGGCCGCCAGAAGGCCGCCATCTTGGCTGCTGGCTACTATAGCGCCTACATCCCCGGCGCTCTTTTAATCGGTGGCCCCCTAGTCAAGAAAGGTGGCTATCGAATCGCCATGACGCTGGGCCTATGCGTCCTCGCCCTGGGCAACGAGTTCATGTCTATTGGCGCGAGCCACTGCAGTCTTGCAGGCATGGTAGCAGCACACTTTGTCATCGGTTTGGGAGTCTCAACTTTGGAACGTTCGGCAAACCCATACGCCGTCAACTGTGGACCTCGCAGGCAAGCCGCCTTGCGAATCTTGATGGCACAAGCCTGGGCTGGGATCGGCACCGTTGTCGCTCCATTCCTGGCCAACGCATTCGTCTTCAACCCCGACACCTCTACAGCACGTCCAGCTCCAGACCCTCTTCGCCCTGGTAGATGCCAGATGCCCACTATGCAGAGCGCCTCCTGCGCCAACCTGGGCAGCGTCATCACCTTCTACCGTGCCCTAGGTGCCTGCGTCTTCGCCCTGACAATCTTCGTGGCGATCCTCTTCTTCCGCACTAACTGGTTCCCCGAGGTCGATGTTCCTATCTCGGCGCCTGTCGACTGTGGCTGGAAGAAGTGGAAACACCCTCTCGTCTCCAGACGGTTTGCTCGGATCTGGTGGGGTGTGGCAGCAAACTTTGTCAACCTTGGCTGCCAGGTGACCTTTGCACAGTTTTTCATCGAGCACATGAAGGTCAACGCCTGCGCCAGCGACAGATGGGCAGCTTACTACATGTCGCTTGCGCAGACCGCATTCGTTATCGGTCGCTTCGCCGCCGCAGGGCTCGTCACTGCGCCCAGGATCTTCAAGCCCCGATATGTGTTGATGTGTTTTATGGCCGGTGCAGTCGCAACAACTGCCGCTGGGACAGGAATCACCGCCAACGCCGCCATCGCGGTGGCCATCATGGTCATGTTCTTCGAGGCGCCGTCCTTCCCTATGATCTTTGAGAGCGCGACAGCCAGCTTCGAGGAGTGGACACCCACCTGCGAGACGCTGATGATTGTCAGCATCTCCGGCGGCGCACTACAGCCCGCGCTGATGGGCCAGCTCGTCGAGTCCGTGCGCATCTCGCGCGCCTGGTGGTTGACGGCCTCGTGCTTCTTGCTCGTATTCAGCTACCCGGTCGCCACGAACTTGATCCCCTCGTTCAAGAGGGCCCTGGACCAGGCCGAGATCGGCCCCGACGCTGTCAACCAAGCCGGCATGACTGGCGCCGCTGGCGACGAGGAGACCGGGCTCCGGCGAGAGTCGACCACCAAGGACAACTTTGTGGTCAGGATCGTCGAGAAGGTCACTTCCAGCAGGAAGAAGTCTTCGGCTTCTTCGGACACTGGGTCCGCCACGCTTCAGTCGAGCGAGGGCCCTGCTCAAAGCTCGTAGGGTGGTGCCGTGGTTGTGGTGTATGGTACTATGGTGGTTGTTTATCGGTGTTTCTTGGGTGAAAGTTTTCTACTATTAGGTGTTTGCGATGATGCAGACGAGCAAATGACTCGAATGGGCATCGGACTAGGGACGGCGTTGGGCGATGAGTATATGAGGAAAGACGGGTTTGTTTAGTTTGGAAATGGGGGTGTTCCTGTCTTTGGGGGGGGGGGGGGGGGGGGCATCATGAGACTTGGGGTCTATACAAAAGTCGCTCCGCGCGAGATATTACGGGCCAGTATAGACAGTATACAGGGTGATAGCACAGGAATAGAATTTGAAAAAGAGCATTCGTTCTTTTCCTTCGCTCGCTATCCCGTCAGGGATATCAAGACCGGCTTAATCGACCTGACCGTCTCCTTCCTGTGTCATCAGACGCAGCTCCTGAGACGGCGGGCTTCGTTTCCTTTACGCGGGAAACCAAGTCCTTCTCTGGTTTTGGTTTGACTGACTTGACCTCTGCCTTGTTTGCTGAGCCTTTGCTGGCCGCTTTTGCCTTCGTCGTCGGTTTAACAGCTCCGTTGACTACAGGCTTTGTCTCTTCCTGGTCAGGTTCTGGCTTTGCTTGAACCTTCTTTCCCCTGGCGGTCGTTTTCTTCGGCATCACTTCCTCTTCCTCTTCCTCGTCTTCATCATCATCGTCGTCGTCGTCGTCGTCGTCTTCCTCCTTCTTCACAGGAGACTTGCCTTTCTTCCCCTTGGATTTCTTGGTTTCGACTTCGTCATCATCGTTCTCTTTGGCTACCTTGCGCTTTGTACCCTTGGACTTCTTCGGTGGATCACCGTCCTCATCGTCGAGACCCTCAGCTTCACTCATCTCTTTCGCGACAGGTCCCGTCTTCTTCTGTATTGACGGCACCACGGCACTGGTCCGTCCGCCCACTGTAAGAAATGCGATCTTTTCGCCATTGGGCAAAGTATGTGAGGCGCCCTTTTTGCCTTTACCCCATCGATGCTTGAACAGCCAGTCCTCGGGGAACTTCTCAGAGTCAGCGAGAAGCTCCACCGAGGTGCTGCAGATGTAATGGATCGATTTGTGGAGCTGTGCAATCTGTTCATCACTCAAGGTATTCGCATATTGCTCAGGGTGGATCTTTGCGTTGTACATGATCTCATCGCCGACCCAGTTGCCGATGCCACTGATATTGGCCTGATCCAGCAGCATGGCCTTGATGGGGCACTTTTTGGATCTGCACTTTTTCTTGAGCCACTCAACGGTGACGATGTCTTTGTCGATGACCGGGTCCGGACCGTTCTCGACCAACGGCGAGTTATTTCGTATCTCGGCAGCAGGACAGTCGACGAGCCTGACGCGGGCGAGTCTCCTCATATCCACAAAAGCTGCCTCGATGGCCTCTTCTCCATCCTCGGTCTTGGTCTCGAGCATGAACTTGACAAATTTTGGAGGCCAAGTTTCGTCCTTTTTGCCCTCTTGCGGCTGGTAGTAGTAGGTGTGTTCGGACTTGAATTTCAACCACCCCGTCATCCCGAAATGCATTACCGGGTGCGGGGGACTCGACATGATCATCCAGAAGTATTTGCCCTGCTGTCCGGCATCGACAATCTTCTTCCCAGCCATGTGTGTCTCGAACTCGGCGGCCGACGTGCCCACCTTGCCGTAGACGTTGGCATCGTCGGTGGCGGTGGCTTTGGCGATTGTCTTGCCGACCAGCAGTTTCCGGATGTAATGTACTGTGCGCGCGACTTCTGCGATCTCAGGCATGTTGAGCCCAACTTGGCCTTTGGTCTTGGAGAGGATATTCTGAGTGGAAGAAACCTCTTCTTTAAAGGCGCAGTGGTGGAGACGGGAGGATGGATGTCTTTGGGTCTTTTGTGGTGTTGCTATTGAACTGGCCAATCGACCCAAACCTTGGTCGATCCAGTCGCAGATATGTGAGACCGAAAGGTAGAGAGAGAGAGATCGGACGCAGTCTTGAGGTCAATACCCGTATAGCAGGCTGAAAGTGAAGCTCAGGCTGCGTCGTCCGCTGAAACACCAGGCGCAATAATTGTGTCAAGCCGGAGGCCTGAAACGCGTATTTGAATACGAACCAGCCGACGCGTTTAGTGGTTTTCCACGTTTCTATGGCAGAAGCGACGATGACATAATGAATCTGCCGATGGTGGAGGCGGACGTGGAAAAGTGCAGCCTCGTTCGTCTCCGCTCCGCAAGTGATTCATGAGTAGTACATACTTGGATACTTCTTCGAAGAGTCAAGGCTGTCTCCTCCTGCGTCGGTGACTAGCCAAAAGATACGCCCTGTTAAATGTCTGTTTCATTTGCATCCCATCTCCTCATCTGTTAATCAGTCAAGCTGGCGTGGTTTTGGACATCATCTGCTCCGGAGACAACCTCGCAGTCTCCCACATCCACCTCGCAACCTCGTTTTCAGAGAGCTGCTCCTAGTATTCCTCCCTCTCGACGACCCATCCCACCGTCTACCGTCCCTGACCAAGCTCCTCCGTCGGGGACTGGAGCTCCGGCACAGTCCAACTCACGATCGCTGATAATGTCCAAACCCACGGCGCCACCCATAAGCCTTACGCCGCAATTCTGCTTCAACACCCGCGTCCTGCGGGACTTTCTCCGCCTGTCACGCGCGAGCATCGACGACAGCATCTCGACGAATTTGAACGCATTAATCACCCCGGCCACCACCTCGCCTTTCGACCCGACTTCGACATCGATCCGAAACCCATCACTGCCATCCTCGCTCACGAGAGCACCTATACCTCGAGAAACCAGTCGCACCTTTCTGCACTCCGTCCTGTTCCCCTCGTGGAATGTGAGGTCGGATGTGATATCTTACTGCACGAGCGTGGCGACGAGTCCGGACCCAAATGACCCGGATCTCATTGAGCGGGAGGCGCTGAACAGGCGAGACGCCGAGCGGATCGTGAACGAGCGGCTGGATCCCTACTCCGGAAGGTTCTTCCCCAGAGAGTCAAGGGCGGAGATGCTAGCGGATGTACTGCGGAACGAGAATGCGGTGGAGAAGATCGTGAGGACAAGGACATGGGGCATCGTGCAGGAACGGTGCGAAGGTGTTGAGGAAGGGTCTTGGGAAGAAGCAGTCAATTCCTGGAGGGAAGGAAAGCGATAAAATCAGCGTTCGAATATCTCCGGTCCGGTCATGAAACAAATCTGGGAAGAAAAACGAATAGGGTAATTGGGCTCTTGCTTTGCACACGCCGACAACCACCTCGTATATACCTGGTGCGAACCGAGGGGAAACCCGACCGGCCGCCATTCCCAGTCAAAGTGAGGACTTGTCTTCAAGCCACTGAAGACTGATCGCTTGGAACATGTGTGGATCGCTCTATCGGACTAGCAGATGGTATAAAGTTGACGGACAGAGCGCAAATGGGCTGAGATTAGACGGTCGGAGACCATAGGCTAGAGGTCAAGCCTGTGCAAGGACGAGGCTTTGTCAACTCTCCTGCAAGCTAGGTGCATATATTGGGACTGACGGTCAGTGTTAGGGTCATCAATCCATCGAAGAGATACCGATGGCAGCAAAGCGCCAGGGATAAGGGAATACAACACCCAAGGGGAAACGAAACTCCACGAAACTCCACTCAAAATGGAATATCACGGCCTGGATATGCCACATAGATCATTCCGCGTCGCATCATGTACAAATATCTATATCCCAGAGCCTACACAGCCGGGTATCAAAACCAAATTCTATCTCTTCGTCTTCTTTCGTCTCGTAAACCGCGCATCGGTGAACTTCCCTGAAAGTAAGGAACATCTAGTTCGTAGTCATCTCGTTTGAAACCGAGCTACCATCCGCCGCCACTCAGTCCGGCAATACTCGCAATGCGCTCCGTGTCGCTCATCTTGCTCGCGGGTTTGCTCTTGCCAACATCGCTCTCGACTTGCCGGAATGTCGTGTATGCTAGCTTGGAGACCGGCACGTTCACAAGCCGAGACCACTGATAAAGGAAGTCGTAGACCTCGGTAGTGTCGATTCCGTTGATGATTGTGTGTTTGGTCTTCTCGTGCCCGTTCAGACAGCTGAGACCGTTCGTCATCGGCACGTCCTCTCCTTGCTCATCTGCATCAATGTCCTCGGAGGAATCACCCGAGTAGTAGGCTTCATCCACTAGTCGCAACCACTCCTTCTGACTCTGCGGGCCACTGACAACATTGACCACATCTTCGCTCCGTGTCTGGGGCAACGTCTCCATCACATCGTCAACCTTGATTTGTCCGCCTCCGTTCGTACATCCCCCAGGACAAGCCATGACTTCTACATAAGCGTAGTCACTGATGCTTCCGCTTCCACCCGCTGGATTCATACGTCTCGCAGCGCCAGGTAATTTGCTCTGCCTCGCAGGTTTCAGTTTCCGCACGAGATTCTGAATGTTTCGAAAACCGTAATATCTTGCGGACTTCATAAGAACTCGGCCTGAGGAGTCAACAAGGCAATATTCCACCACGTCAGCGTTACGACCACGCTGGACGGAAATAGTGGAGCCCGGGTGGCGTGATTGTTCGGTTAGGAGGATGTGATAAAGGTAACCGCCTGAAGAGCCGGCTGCCACACTTTGCTCTTGTCGGAGCCGTGGCCATTGTTTTGGGAAGAGGAAGTGAGAAATGTGTGCATCTGGGAACGGAGTGCGTTCGGCGGATGAGAGCGGTCTGCGTGGAAGACTGGAGAGTTGAATACCGCGAGCTGAGGCAAGGGATAGGAGCTCGCGGGAGGTGATCACACAATCAACGTCTCGTATAGGAGGAACGGATGGGTCCGAAGACTCTGAATATCGCCACCAGCGATCCGTTAGCTCTTCCCTGCTGGCCTCGAGTTTCTTGTCAAAGCAGGGCATTATTGCCAGATGCCATATCTGTGAAGGATGGATGTCCAGCGTCTTGCTCAGAACCGACTTGAGCAGTGTTCCAGATAACGCCTGTGGAGATTTCAGTGCTGAGAGATGCGGAAGGATATAAGGATGTGTCTTCTCCGCATAACAAATCCAACCCGGACAAGCTGAAGTCAGGATCGGCCTGGGTTTCGACCCTGCTGTGATTGAGTCTGCCACCTCTTCAGCCCCTAACACCAGGCACGCTTCCCGGGCCTGATTAGTGTCCACCACATATGTAAATCGGCTATTGTGCTGACCACCTATCCGCAAGCCCTGTGATCCGCTAAGAAACTGTTCAATCATGAATCCGGCTCTTCGTTCGGAGATACCATATGTCGCAGCCAGACTAGCCCGAACCTGCGGGCTCACGCTGGCAACGAAGATTTTCGCATTAGAAGGCGGTGATCTGTGACCATTTGCAAGCCCGCTTTGCCTGTCGATAAGATGTTGTACATCTAGCGAGGGATAGGAATCGAGTGTATTCAGGACTTCAGTATGAGATTGTAACGAAACGAGAACGGCCTCTGCAGACGTAACACAACCCGAGCAGGCGAGACAATCAGTGAGGGAGATCGAGGCAGGCGCCGGGTTTTTGGTCTGGACCTTATCCTCGGTGGTCACTTCGTAAGGATTGCCATCGTCCTCCTGTTTCGGGAGTGTCTCGACCGGTTTAATGCAGGCGACGCCAGGCGAAATGAAGTCGTTGAGATCGTCTGCGGAGAGGATGGCGCTCATGGCTGCCAGAAGGTGGCGACCGCGACAGGGGCGACGAGGTTGGCTTTGGAAGTAGGCGGCTACACTCTCTGTGTCCGCTTCAGAAGAGTGATCCTACAGAACATGAGTTGTCCTCAGTCTTTCTTGGGGAACAGTGTCAAAATCACTATCTTGATCGTGTTTTGAATTATTAATTGCGAGATGCTGTTTGGGGTGCGAAACTCCGATGGTCGGCATGGAAATTCCAAAGTTCTAGACTTGACGTAGGAGGGCGGATGACTAAGAACTTAGGTAAACTCGTCTCCAGATCTAACCGGGCATGGCCGGGAACTTCGACGTACGCAGCCTTTCATTCTCCCTCACGAGTCGTGCACGCGACCATTGTAGGACAACACACCATGCGGCTACTATGACACTCCATGCTCGACAATCGAACAGAAGGGAAAATAGAAGAGGTGGAACTTCGAGACATGCCCTCTACACGCGATGATACATCTCCAGATGCCCCGCTCATCGCAGACCGCGAACGGGACGACGGACAAGCATCCTCCTCCCCAACCACTCAGTCCTCTGCAAATGCCTTCATATGGGCTTTGACGGTCTCTGCTTGCGTGTCAGGACTGCTCTTTGGCTATGACACAGGAGTTATAAGCAGTACCTTGGTGTCCATCGGTACCGACCTGTCCTCTCGCCATTTAACCACCTTGGACAAGGGCCTCATAACTTCATGCACCAGTCTCTTTGCGCTCATTGCGAGTCCAATTGCGGGCGTCCTGGCGGACCGGGTTGGGAGGAAAAACATTATATTGTTCGCTGATGCGCTTTTCACACTTGGCGCTTTATGGCAGGCCGTCACAACGTCCGTTTGGGGGATGATACTGGGCCGAAGTATTGTGGGACTGGCCATTGGGGGTGCCAGTCTGATCGTGCCTCTGTATATCTCGGAACTAGCACCTAGTCACCTGAGAGGCAGACTTGTTACGGTATCTCTTCTCTTCATCACTGGGGGACAAGTCATCGCCTACTTGGTCGGTTGGGCGTTTTCCACCATGAGCGGCGGATGGAGGTGGATGGTCGGCCTGGGCTCTGCTCCCGCGCTTGCACAACTTGTCATGTTAGCATTCATGCCCGAGACGCCTCGCTATCTGGCCAAAGTGCAAAGGGAAAGCGAAGCTCGTGCGGTGTTGAAGAGAGTCTACCATGGGATGAAAGGCAACACCACCAACATCGTGAATGAGACCATCCGCGCCATTAAAAAGGAGCTGCTTGACGAAGAAGAGGCGCACATCCAGCTCCGTCACTCAGCACAGTCAAAGTCCAACTTCCTAATCTCCACAACCCTGCAATCCCTTCTCCTCCACCCTCCACATGCCCGAGCACTGACAATTACATGCACTTTGCAAGCCCTTCAGCAGCTGTGTGGATTCAATAGCCTCATGTACTTCTCGGCTACTATCTTCCAACTACTGGGATTCCAGTCGCCGACCTTGACATCACTCAGCGTTGCCGGCACGAACTTTATCTTTACCATTGCGGCGTTTCATCTGATTGACCGATTGGGCCGGAGACGGATTCTGCTGCTCACCATTCCCATCATGGTCCTGGCCCTTCTCCTTTGCGCTGGAGCCTTCACATTTGTCCCCTTACATTCAGGCGATGGGATAGAAACTACCGTGGACAGTTCTACTGGGAAAACCGTCCCCCAGCTCCCCGCCATAGCCATCCTGGTGGCCATGCTCCTCTACGTCTCAACCTACGCGATGGGTCTCGGCCCTGTACCCTGGCAACAATCCGAGCTCTTCCCTCTTTCCGTCCGCTCTCTGGGCTCCTCGCTGGCGACTGCGACGAACTGGCTCTGCAACACCGTCGTCGGCCTGACCTTCCTGCCTATGATGGATATGCTAGGCGCGCAATGGACATTCGTCACCTACGCGGCCATCTGTGCGCTGGGCTGGGTGGTCGTGTGGTGGATTTACCCGGAGACGATGGGCCTGAGGTTGGAGGAGGTCGGCGAGTTGTTGAAGCACGGCTGGGGAGTCGACGAGAGCTTGGAACGGTTAGAGAGTTCTAGACGGGTCACTCCAAGTGACTAGGGTATTGTTTTATCGGTTTCGGGTTAAGTCACTTAGAATTATTAGATTATGACCTTGGGCCGTGGGAATGACTGTGGTTGGTATTATAGTCAATCCTAGCTGGCTGGCTACCCTTGGAGGTACATCAATGATTGATGTGTAAACCAGTCACTGGACTCAGATTCAGATTCAGAGTTAGTGATGGAGGTGAACGCACCTGGTTATTCCTGCTCGAGGTGCAGGCTCTATATGAAGCCAGAAGACACGCTGCTCACAGGCTCGTTGTCCCCGTCAGTCTTGGAAACATCTGTCACCCTTTTCCGTGCCATCCTCCTGGCATGTTTCCTCTCCCTCCTCTCCTTTTCCCTCAGCTCTCTCTCTTTCACCACCACCTGCCAGTACTTGTCTCCGAGCTCCGCGTACTGACGTCCACGCGCCTGAACGGCCTGCTCGAGTTGTCGGTCAACTTGGCGGAGCGCCAGTGTCCACGAAACCTTCGGAGCGGCGGGACTGTCAGAGGGGAGTTGCCGGTCTTGGTCTCTCTTCTCTCTGACGTTGTAGCGGTTTAGTCCGACAAATTGGATGCTGACACTCGACGAGGGTTGATTGTGGTCCATTTGCGTCTCTTCTCCCTGCTTTTCTGGCTGAGCGTTCGTGGTAACAATCTCCGGTGACTCTGCAATGCCCTGCTCTCGGGCGAGGATGCCATCCCACTCGTCTTCCCATTCAGCGACCTGAATCGTTGCTGCGAGGTCCAGGTGCTGTGCCCACTTCCGAACACCCCACTGCAGCTTATTCTTCAACACTCGATTCATCAGCACCGGCGTCGGGCCTGGATATTTCAGAAGGGGAATTCCCTGGGTCAACATCAGGTTGGGCACTTTGCGGACACCTGATTTCACTTCAGATATCGGTCTCGGGTGCTGAAAAATGCGTGGGTTGTCAGGAGTGGAGAGGTGGTTTGCCTTGTCAGCCACGCGGCGCAGGTTCTCCAGATGAGCATGCCGCTGGGGTGGAGGCGGTTTCCATCGCGAAGCGAGTTCGGCGCGGTGTTTCGATATAGATTCGGCTTGTTGAGCCACATGCTCGAGGGTTTGGCTCAGCTTGTGTAAGGCATTGCCCGATTTAGCGGCGCATGCGCGAAGGAGCGAGAGGGCGTCATGGCCGGCCTGTAGACCGTTGGCGACCTGTGAAGGGGAAAGCAGCTTGCGGTCTTGATGGAAACGGAACCGGATCAAGGACTGAAGTGTTCCAGCGACGGCATTGTTTTGGATTGCAGCCCCAACTCGCGTGCTCTCGCGGAGCAGAACTTTGTATAGTGACAGACCTGCATCCTGCTTGTTAGAAGTCTCCGCCAAAACCACAGAAGTCGCACCTACACGCTAGTCGATGAAGCCCCGATTTGTGCGGAGCAAGAATACGTGGCATCCGCACATCTCAGGTGGGATTCATAAAGGGTACATGAAGTTTGGAAGTGAAAGAAATTGTACTCGGTACAGAGAAGACAGATACAGGTCAGCCTCGCAAGCGGCCAGCCAGCGATGCCTAGGCAGGTTTGCCGATGACGAGGCTGAAGTCGACCGGAATCTATCATGATGCCTGACGACATTCTCTTGCTAACACCGTACTTACGGACATCCAAGGAGACAGTGGAAATACAAGTGACCAATGGTAGCTGCTATCTGTGCATACCTTTCTATCATCTCATTCCTGCAGCTAGAATGGTGCTATGAACGATTCCCGACGCCAAGTATGCCTTCGTAAGAACTCGTGATTCATCGCTATACATTCAGAGGTCCAACTCCATAATACCATGCCCATATTGCACATCTTAGAAAGTGGTGCCTTCTTGGGGTTGCGGAAGTTTCTTGTGTTGTGGTAGAGCCATGTACCTGCGGACATCAGTAACCTTTCGCGCACGACAGGATAGCCCAGCGTACGTACCTTCTAAGCTCGATCAAAATTGTCTCCATGGTGTAGTCTCGTTTCCAATTCGCCAAGCAAGGCAGCTTCGATGGATCAACCTTATCCGCAAGGGTTAGAGTTGACGGTGTGCCTTTCATGGTATTTATCCTCACCTTCCCCGTCTTTTGATCGACACATGGCAGATTCACCCTCGACACGAACTGGATGGTAGGTGGGAGGTCAGGATACTGTTCGCCGCAATGGATGTTGACGCTGTAGATGCGATTCTCGTGGACGCTCTGTATAGCAAACGGGTCAGCTCGATCTTGCCCCTCAGTGGAAACGGCGGTATGGGCGCTTTACGTGAGGAGGTCCAAGGATGGTGCCGTTCCAATTGGTCATCATCAAGTCATCACTATCGGCCAACCCATATGAGCAAGCCTCTGCACGAGAGTCAGAAACAATATTCCCCAAGCAACATTCACAGGTAGTCGCAGACCTGCACCGAGGCCTTTCTCGCCCTTCTCCAACTCTTCCAGGAGCCGGAAATTTCGCGGCACTTTGGCACCCATGTTGAGATGGCAATCGGGTTGGATAAAGCGTGTGTTGTCACAAAGTGAATCGTTCTGCGGCGGATCAATACTTGTGGGAAGGAAAGACGAATACAAGAACTTAGGAGGGGCGACTTTAATGGGGAGAAACTTGAGAAGGCGGGCACGCGCCACAGCCTCGTCGCTTGGGTCATTCAGCCTTGGCATAGGACGACGCGCGCACGTGATCTCGTCTGTGGTTGGCTTGGCACGCTTGGCGATATTGTTGGGGACAATAGAGACAACAGACTCAATCACAACCATCCCTAGTAGTCTACGTAGATATCAGGCCGTCAAATATACAATGAACCAGAAAAACGATTGAGGGTGATGGATTATCGATACCATATCGCTGGCTCTAGCAAAATGATTAGCTTGGTTAAAGCGGCTCAACTCCCCTCTTCCGTCCACTACTATTTCATTATCCATCGGCTTTCTGGCCTGGCAAAGGATATCTCGGACAGATCTTCCGGCCAGATGTTGTCAAAATCAAGACCACGACTGGGTCAAGATTGCCGTTGATCACCCCTCTGCATCTCCCGGAAGAGCTTTCCATCTTCCCATCCCCCGCAGCCTGAGGGCAAGGGGATTCTCACTCAGAGCATGAGCTATCCCACCCTGGCCTCGGGCTCGTGCTGGCTTGCGTCTTTTTCTTTCCCGGACACGGAGATCAATCCAGACGAGTACTCCTACCAGGACGGAGGCGCAAAGCAGCACAATCGCAAAGATCTCGTACCACTTCAATTCCTTCCGTTTGGGCCGGAAAAGGACAGGTGACTGTCTCGACTCGGAGTCGTCCTCCGCGGAGCCATAGAACACACCGGTGTCGGCCCCTTTCTGGCCCAGTGCAGGACTGACACCGCAGCGCTCTACCAGCCAGTTCTTGATGGCCGTTCTCTCGCTCTCCTTGTGACAGTTCGACTGGCAATCGAACAAGCTCCCATGAAGACAGAAGCAGTTGCGACCCTCGCTGACGCAGCCGTAATAGACAAGCGCTGGATGTAGACAACTCTGCGCACAGGCCGGCAGACCATCGTACGAAAGGTTATCAGAGTCTGGACCGCATTCCTGGACGAACCAGTCCTCGACGGCCATCCATTCCCACCAAGTGCACGACCACGCGCAGTAAAGCGGGTCCTTGAGAGCGCAGTAGCAACTTTTCTCATATAACAGTGTCGACGGTTTTATCGGCGTGCACGCGTCTTCCGGTGCGCTTCCGAGAGGATTGGAGCTGCAAGTGGATAGCAGACACGGTGGCAGTTTGGAGACATCGATTTGCTGGGTAGTATTAGTTGACTGACGCTGCGACAACTCTGCGCCAGCATGTGTGGTCTGTGAGAGGATCTGCACAACGAGGGAGAGTGCGTATATCCTCCAGCCTATTTCCATTCTGCTGAGCGTTGTGCAGAAATGTGGGAATAGAGCAAAGACGTGAAGAAGCTCGAGGGAATCTACCGCAGCTGAACATATTGTTCTCTGTATTCGGACAAGCAAAAGAACCGCAGCGTGGGGACTTTGGGACAATGAGGCTGAGAATGCACGGACCACAGATACATCGCCTCGACCACGGGCATGCTCCAGTCTGCGAGAAGTGACTGGACAGACTTCAAGCTGGAAGTCCGAAGGTCTTGTAAACGGTCGAGCAAATAAGATGCTGCCAGCAACGCACCAGAGAAAAGATGCCCTTCAAGTACAATGCAAGGTGCCGGATTTGTGTCCTTGCAGATGAAGCTCGCACCCAAAGGAGCATGGGCGCTGCATCGCTCCGGTCCTAGTGGTCGCTTCCAGCACATTTACGCGAGACCAGCCGTTTCTGCCCGTCCAATCTGGGGCCACAGCAACCATACCACACCAACACGAGATGGCTCTGCGTCTTGCTCCCGATGAGAACTGGCGAGCCATTCTGTTCGTGGTGTTCCGAGGAGCCCGATTCAGCCTTATTGTGAGCAAAACTCTGGGTCTACGAGTATAAGGAGTGTCTGCACTATCGCCAACCTCAGCACGTTGGCCGGACAGATGCTGCTGAAGAACACCGTCGATGTCTAACTTTGCAATTCAGCGCCCAGCATGACATCCCCAACAGAAGTGACTACAGCCACCAGGCTTGCGATACTGCTCTCCTTAAGCCTCATCATTACTTCGACCTCTGCTTACGACAGCAACATCTGTTGCATGAAGGCCGCCCGTTCGCATGAGCTCCGGATCCTTTTGCAGGAGGACCCTTGGGATGTTTGCAGCCTGAACGACACCGAAACTTACCGTCCAGGGACCACGTTCCCTTCGATCAATATCACGATGGGATGGTGCAAAGCACACTGTCCTGGCAATCAGCCAAGCGACCTGTCACAATGGCTGCAGCCCCTGACTAGCTGGGTTGTGCCTTACATCGGTCTTCTCTTGCTGTGTCCCTTCGGCGACATTAAAGATTCAGTTTCAGGGTCGCAAGCAAGGCTAACCTCGATGAAGTTCGGAGATGTCTGGAGGTGGTTCTGGCGATTCGTTCGAAGATATACTCAGGAATGGATTAATCTGCTCGGCGATCCAGCAAGTGCTATTTTTGGTGCGTTCTCAGAGATTTGGTCTGATGCAACGATGCTGCGCGATATCAACTCGCGTCTGGATGCGGGAAGGCCGAATTGGGGCGAACTTTCTTCGATTGATCTCTTGAAATGGGTGGTCGTCCTGGTCGGCGACACCGAATGCCCCTATGAATACGATGAACAAACAGCTGAAAGAGATTCGGGTCAAGACTCGAATAGGAAGACCATCGAACTTGACACGTTGTTCTCGCCAGAATCAGACAAAGGAGTGGATAATACTCCTAAAGTTCGAGCGTTGGTGGAGATCGCGATCAAGACTCTTGTCGAGGCTCGTACCGACTTCTTCAAGGCCGTCTTCTTGCCAACGGTCCTCTTCCTTGCGGTGACGGCATCGGTCTTCTATGACGCTTACACAAAACTTGGCGACAATGATACTGCGAATGGCCTCGCTTTTGGGATCTGGTACTCGTGGCTGGTGATTCTCTCTGTGGCTGCAAATTGCTTTGCCAGCAGCGTAAATGCGGGTTTGACCAAGACTACGCTTGGCCGATATTTTCAGCTCTCCGACCGAAGTGTTCCACTGCGCGAGCGCTATTTCAACGGACTGCTGTGGCATGAATGGTTGACTCGTGTTCAGAGCAATCCAGAGAAGACGTTATCCGACTTAAACGATAATGAACCCTTGTCACTCAACCTAATGGCGGACAGAATCGACAACTCAGAAGGACGGCATTTGGTCAAATACCCATCCCTCACATTGGCGAAGAGTTTCCAGCTGCTGGTGGGCCATGTGATTGCTTGGCTCTGCGTGGCCATTCCGTCGGTGGGCGCCATTATTGTCTCATACGTAAGTCTGATTGATCTGCAAGACCAGTATTGTTCCAGACGGGAGCGTGGTCAGCACTGGGTGCGTTAATGCTGACTCTTGATGGCCGACAGAACACGCCAACTGTTGGCTTTGACTGCCGATCATTCAACTTCCTCGTCTATGGAATCCTTGCATTGGTCGCTCCGGCCCTGCACATCGCATATCAGTGGATGCTTCGCAACAAGGGAAACAAATACGCGACAGAAGGACTGAAGATGTTTTACTGGTTTTTTGTCTGTGCCAATGCAGCTGTACTAACCATTGGCACCATGTTGCAGCTGGCTGGTGTCTATCGGAGCTGCCGGTGTCAACTCCTGTTCGCCTCGGATAACGACATCATCGAAGTGAACCGCAATACTCATCTGGCGGTTGACAATGCAAAGGCTTACTGGCTTCCGGTAGGATATGTGGCGTTTGGATTTGTTTGGGTGGTTTGTGGGCTTGTAACGGCAGCTAGGGCGCATATCTCGGTCCGCCTAGACCACATTGATGCGTATGACTGAGTTCAGGGTCTTTGTCCCTTCCGTGGTCTTCTCACGGGCCGGGTTCTACCCCTTGATGTTTTGTATACTCTTGTTCTGACCTGTAATGCTCTCGATGTCCCTTCACATTTGCAGTGTGGTTGGCATTTTATTCTAGGAGAGACACTCCTCAACCAGCTAATTGACTAAATCATGTTGTATCTCCTCCTCGAGACTGTTCTCTGGTCCCTCGCCATAGACGAGACCTCGATGGGACAAGGCTGTCAGGGGGTGGTCGGATCGATAAAGCAGCATTACATTTGTCCTTAAAAGAGATGGCCGAGCCTTGGCGGCATCTGATTGGCCGCCTTGGAAAGGCCACCTTGAGCCACATTGCGCTGCTTCTCTTGTACCACCAACACCAAGCAGTACGACGCTCCCTTCTCTCTGCCCATGATGAGGCGAAGCAGGGATGACACATGCATTTCTCCAGTCCGAGTTGGCGAGCCTCATATCAGACTCGAAGCGACGAAACAATGACGTGCGCGTCGCCGCCGAGCAGTCGCTTGCTGACCTCAAAACAATCTCGGTGACATCCGAATCTCAACTGGCCGGTGACCTGTGCCGGCGGCCTCTGTTCATTGAACCCTTTCTTCTCGCTTGCAGGACCAAAAATACCAAGCTAGCAACCACCGGAACTGCCTGCATCCAGAGGCTGACTGCAAGCAATGCCCTTGCTCGGACGAGGCTACCTGATCTCCTAGCCGCTTTCCGTGATGGGGCTGCTGCAGGCTATGAGCCTCAACTCAAAATCCTCCAGACTCTGCCTTCTCTGCTCCAGCTCTATGCCGATGACATACATGGAGACCTCCTTGCGACAATTCTAGAGCTATGTGCGTCTCTCCAATCCAGCCGGACGGCCGCTGTGAGCAACACAGCTGCAGCGACTTTCCAACAGTTAGTCTCGGCGGTGTTTGAAAAGGCTGTGCAGGGAGAAAGTCTTAGGCCGTCAGGTGGGGACGATGGAGAGGACTTCTCAGCTGCAGATTCAAGAGGTGCCTCTCTGGACGATGCAGTTCGGCTCTTCGATGACTTTTGTCTGCTGCTTGACCACCAAAAACCGCAATATCTAAAAGTGGAAAGTCTACCCATCGGCTTCTTGCTCGAAACTCTGCAGACCATTCTGTCAAGTTACGATTCGCTCCTTACAGCCGACCGACTCCGCGATCAGACATGGCCGGAAAACCTTGCGCACGGTCTGTCGCGTGTCTTGGCGAGAAAGGATGCATTCGGTATGACGGCGCGCGCTCTGTCTATCTTGCTCCTAATGTTTCAATCTCGGGCTGCAGACCTCCGAGATCAACTGGCAGAGATGACACCTCTACTTATGGCTGCCCTGGAGAAGGACGGCAACCCACCATGGAAACGAGCTCTTTTCCTCGAGTTCTTTCGTACTCTTTGCTCTGACTTCAGCGTGTTCCGAGAAGCCTTTCGTCTGTTCGACAAGGGAGACGACCCCGTCAAACTGATAGGCCAGTTGATGTCTGCATTAGTCCGTATCGCAGCGGAGGATCCATCGTTGATCGGGCTTGGGCGCCAATCTACTGTTCCTGTTCAGCGTGTAACCGACCCAAAGAGCGAAGAGGCTGCATCCATTGAGGCGCAAGGCTTGGGTGGTGCCATCACCTCTGTGACCTCGAATGACGCAAATACTACTGGTATCAGCGTCGATTGGAGTGTCGTGGCTGTTCGTCTGATGGATCAACCCGAGAAGAACACTCCCCCTGCAATCCCAAGCACTTATATCTACACTCTGGTGCTGGGTTGCATCTCACATCTATGTGATGGCCTGTCAAAGTTCATTATGCCACTGAGTGTTCCGAGCCGAGTCGCTCAACGAGACTCATCGGAACTGGGCCGCAGAGATAGTTCTGCCACAGACCGGACAGACGACGATGCCGCACGGAGACCCATTCGTCCAACTTCTGCCTCTCAGAAATATCAGCGGCTCATCAATCCTCTGACCTTGACAAACCATCGATTATACGCGCAGATCCGGACATCTGCAGATCTCATCGAGTCCTGCTGGCCCGCCGCGCTTGCGACTTGCTCAACGTTCCTCAATGCCGCACTGGACTCTGAGTTTTACCATATGTTGATCCGATCAGTTCAAAAATTGGCCCAGGTTTCGGGTGTGCTCGAGCTCTCCACACCCAGAGATGCCTTGCTCACAACTTTGGCAAAAGCATCCATACCTTCCAATGCGAGTAGCTTCATAGCAGCCTCTCAAAGTCTCAAATCCCCTCGAGCCACAAATGCTGAACATGGGTTTTTCAACGATGTGCTTAAATCTCCAGCTGAGCCACCGCCGACACCCACTTTCCAGGTCAGCAGTTCACCGCTCAACGTCAGGCACCTGCTTTGTCTTCGGGCGTTGCTAAACCTTGGTATTGCTCTCGGGCCGACGCTAGAAGAGGATGCTTGGTTCATCCTCATTGAAACCATGCAGACGGTTGAAGCTTTGATTGCAATGCCAAACACGGTTGCGGCAACCTCGCAATCAGAAAGTCCGAGGATGGGTCACGACGGTCAGACAACTCTCTCGACAGAGATAGCCGCCGTCCAGGCGGCAACAAAGCGAATGCTCGACAGCACACGAAGTTTTAGCGCCGAGGCGTTTGCGGTTATTGTGCATGCCTTATTCCGCCTGCTTGGACAAAGTGATGCGGAAGGTGATTCGCAACCCGCGGAGCAAAGCCTTGGTTCTCCTATCTCACCAACTCGTCTAGGGGCTCCAAGACCTGCACATCATGTCTCTCGAAGTGTATCTGGTCTGTGGACAAAGTCAAAAACGCTTGATCTGGAGATCGGGTTCGTGCTTAACAAGCTCAGCGATTTGTCGCGCATCAACATATACCGCTTCGCATCTTCTGCAGAGCAAGCCTGTTCCTGGGATCTAATTGCAAGTCGTTTGCTGCGCCTCTCTCATGACACCAGTGTTGCTGACAATCATCGCATACAATCTGCGAGCATATTGGACTTGATCTCGATGGAGACAGTCAAGTTGTTGGATGACCCACGTTTCGAAGCCAGCGAGGCCGATACCATTAGATCCCGCTGCTTGCGATCCCTCTTACAACAGTTAGATTTCTTTGATGAGACCCCCAGTCGAAGGTATGATGGTGTCGAGCTGGAAATCCACAAGAGACTTCTAGATTCTCTTGAAAGTATGCTTAGCCATAGCGGAGAATCTCTGAACAACTGCTGGCCTATCGCCCTCGAGATACTGTCAATATCGTTCGCGAAGAGGGGACAGGCACGACCGCCGCCTATCGATGCATCCACGGAACAGGCCGAAAATCATGCGCAGACGGCTCAGATATTAAGAGTCGCATTCAGATCTATACAGCTGATTGCCTCGGACTTTCTCGGTGTTCTGGATACTGCTTCGCTCGCAAAACTGGCTCAACTTCTGCGTCAATTTGGCTCTCAGTATTATGACTTGAACGTGGCGTTAACAAGCACGACTGTCCTGTGGAGTCTCGCCTCTCAAGCTTTGTCAAGGATCGAGACGATCGATCTCTCTTCCATGCCAACTCTGGAGAGCCGGATTGAATCAGTCACCGCAAACTCCGAGTCTTCTGGATTAATCTGGAGTGTCATTTTACTGCAGTTGATTGAATTGTGCAAAGATGAGCGTGCAGATGTTCGAAACGCAGCCATCAAAATCCTACTAAAGATGCTTGATGCCTCGAGCGAGGCGCTAAGCCCAAATACATGGGCAATCATGCTCGAAGGTGGTCTGCTCGACACTGTTAGATTTTGCATCACTCAGTATGCAGCAGACAAGAGCGATCAGAGCGACTGGATGGACTCCGCGGCTCAACTGACGGAGGGTATTATTCAGATTATATCTCAGAATCTAACAGTGGTCGCCACCCACAATGACTTTAGCAACACATGGCTCCGTACTATGGACGTTTTGAAGTCTCTCCTAAGTACGAGCTCGCTGGTTGCGTCTTCGTTGGCCTTTTCGAATTTGTCAAAACTTCTTTCCGCGCTGTCGATCTTGGGAGACGTGGATGAAGATCTGATTGTGCGTCCAATGCAGCTTTGGACAGACTATCATCCTGCAAAGATTGGACAAGACTCTGAACCTCACCATGTGGCCGGTGATGGACCGTCGAATCAACAAGCGTTCACTTCGCATGCTAATGTCCTGGTCGAAGCGTACAAGACCAGGCCCGTCGCTGTTTCGAATTATATGCAAGGCCAAACACCTATGCTAATGAACGCCATCGAGTGCGGAATTCTGCTGTGTCTGCATCCTCCTTACACAAATGACATAAAAGCTCTGGCACCGGAACAGAAGGAGGCCTTGCAGTGCATGGCAATCCTGAAATCCCTCTTGCGTGGCCAAGTGTCAGAGTTTTCCCAGTTCATGCTCAGAATGCTAAGTCTCGCCCTTAATATTCAGGATGGGAGGATTGGTCCCCAACATAAGAAGTCAGCCATCTCGAAATCTGCGCAGAAGCCAACGTTCATAGCATTTGCCTCTACATGTTTGGATAACCTGCGGAACTTGATTCTGGAGTACGCGGAGGACGAGCATTTTATCGACAATTTAGCCGTGCAAAGAGCATGCCAAGTGCTTTCCGCGATCATCAACACGAAATACACCAAGATCCCCACGAACAGTCAAGCACCGTTATGGAGGAATGCCACCGTCACTGCAGTGGTGATGCTCGAAGCCTTGCAGAAACATGTGAGCCACAGAAGGTCACGGTCAGTGGATCGCCCTCACCTAGGTGGTTTGGCACCCGACATCATCTCCATCGCCGTTAGTATCCTGAATTCTGGTGGTCTACCCAACCCGCCTGGTTCAGGTTACACTGAAGAGACAATTCTCGAAGATGAGACGTTTGACATCGAACATTTCCGGCTTCTGCATGATGCCATTGTTCCCATCTTCCAGCTGTCAGAAGAGGTCCGGGAAGACGCATGCAAGGAGTATGCCGTTGTCATATTCCAGGCATCACTGCTCGCGAACCCTTGGTTTTACGACATTCCAGATGATCTCACTAATGACCCATTGAAAGACTTGCTAGTGACGAGACCTGGGAGTGTCCACCGGCCGGTGTTTGCCGTGAGACGCAGCATTTGCTACGCAGCGTTGGATGCGCTATTTGGGCTTGTATCGCTGCAGCGGCCTACGGAAAGTACCAAGGACCAGGGAGATCTCAGGATCGAATATTCCAAGTTAGCAAGCGCAGCCGCCCCTTATCTCGTATTGCGCGTGGCGCACCCTTGCAAGACATTTCTAGCAGACCAGCGGCTGCGAGGTCTTACTCCGCCACCAGAGCCCCAGCAGGTGGAGTTGCAGGTTGTGCTATCCAAGTTCGTTGAGTTGAGGAGTGACGGTCAGGCGATTGCTAGGATGACACAAGATCTCAAGCAAAAGGACCCTTCTCAAGGATTGCCCATTGCCATGCGGAGACTGGGGGTTAGCGAAGTGGACGACGGCAAGGCCCACCTCCGCGTTCTCTACGGCTTGATTCTGCGCGTCCGGAAGTTCTGGCAAGGGCTGCCGAGATTACAAGGCCCCGGGGCACGCGCGTGGCAGGATGACGGGCCGGGCAAGGCGATCGAAGCGGCTCTAGACAGCTGGGCCAGGGTTGTGGCAGAGGATTGGGGGTTTCTGGGCATCGAGTAGAAAAGGAGTTTCTTCGGGGCTGTTCGAGAAGATGGAAGGCTAAGGTTGTTGCCAACGACTCTGAATATCACGATCGGGAGCTCGGAGCACGAATGTATCACCGCATGTTTTCAAGAGGAGAAAGACACATGAGGAAATATAGAACTGAGAGACAAATCGGGCGCATGGAAAATATTGTGTTTGATGAAGTATGGAGGGCGATCGCCATCAATCCACCCAAACTTCGGGGTAATGCGCATTGAGTCATTGGAGAAATCCTTGGAGTCAAGGTCGGCAGGCTGCCTATGTACTCGAGTGACTCTGTGGCGCCCACTGGGGGGACTGGTGGATTGAGTCCATAGCTTCCAGCGTGCCATTCCACAGCACATTCTTCGAGGAAGAGCCGGTAGAATCCCCGGATTTGACGTTGTACTCTGGGCCAGACTCGAAACTCGCCGCGTGGAAACCCGGATTAGACTTGCAGACATGGTGGTGTGTGTCACTTATGAGATGCCCAATGGCAATGTGAAGGTACACAATTCGACGCGGAATATTGCCCATTTTGGGTCGAGTCCCTCTGTGCATTGTAACCCTATCCAGACGCCTGCATCTCTGGTAGAAAGATTTTCCCGGCGAAGATCTTCATGGCCAATGGCGAATGCGAGGAGGAGGTTTCCTGGTTTAGGCAGGTGTCGGCGGTGTGTGGATGGGCAATTTGCCGCCAGCACCAGGTTGGTCTGTTGCTAGTGGGGGAGCTAGTTCGGGCGCCTGTCGGTAGAGCACTATTTCTGACTGTTTGAAGTAGCGGCGGGCATCTATTTGCACAATGTCAGCTGGATCAAAAGGTGGAATCCAACATTAAACGGGTATTGAGAAGTCGGATACCAGGCCTAGCGTGGGGAATTTTGGCACGTGTCGGCAATTGAAGATGAGCCTCGAGTGGGGGAACAGCAGTGCAGGCATGTTTGAAAGGCTGAAAAGGCTCAATGGCTCTCACAAAGACAGGGATTGGACGACTCATTCAAAGGCGGAGCATATCATAGGAACGTACCTTCGTCAATCAACACCAGACTGAGGTAATATCTGGTGGAATATTTCTTGTTCACCTCTCGGAAGGTCGGGGTCAGGTCAAAGCCTCCCAAGAACAGTCGAATGGGGATCGTTTCGCCTGGTCCCTCGTCAGTATATCATTGTTACTCGTCCTTGTCCCACGACTCAAAGCATTGGCATAGAGCGAAACTCCATGCACAAGCGCATCGGGGAAAGAGGGGATATCATACCTCTCGATGGAGAACCGTCCATAATCTGGAATCAACCGTGAGCATCAAGGACCATGCAAAGATATCGACCACGTACCTCAAACCGCACCAACGTCTCGCTCTCATTGTATTGATTGGGGGCGACACCAGTCGTCTCCCGTCGGATAATAGACAGCTCCATATGTTTGATCTTCAGTCTGACCAGTAAGAAGTAGATTCTCCCAACAATGACATCTTTGAGGTGGTATTTGCTCTTGGAGTATTCGAACTCGATGTGCAAACAGTCTTCAATGCCGACATCCATCTTGATTGAGCTGTTTGTCTCCGGCGGTATCCGATATGAGTAGACCCAAATGTCCTTTTCCCGAATAACATCGGCCATCCTTCTCGAGACTGTGACGCGCACAAAGTATCGGAGCTTGACGTTGATGCCGTTGTATGACTCGTACTGTTTTTCGACGTTCTTGAAGTTGAATGGGAAGGTCTGAGGATGTTGGAGCTCCCCCGGCGCAGCAAGTTCCTGTCCTAGCGACAAGAACTCGTAATGATTTCCCCGGTCGAAGAACATTTCTAGACAAGCTAGAGTCAGATCCCAAGGGTGACCCAGCCAAAGCGCAGTTCTATTGTGGCATACCTATCAGACCGATGAATTGGACCTTGATACCCGTGTGTTCCAGCCTTTTCCCATCCTTTGGTCTTATTGTGACGGCGCCTTTAACAGACTCGCCATCGAGATATAGGGGTGCCTTTTCCCGCCTGTTCTTGTCGAGCTTAACATCGACAGTTTGTCGCTCGTCGGCGTCTTCGAGGACAATGTCGATATCGACCGGAGTTGAGAAGAAGAATGCTGACATGGTAGACAAGGTGGGGGACGGAAGGGGATGCTGCAGGTGTAGTTATCTAGCGGTTGGGATGCTGTGAGGAGAATATTGCCTGAGGATATGGGAGATGCAGCAGAAATGTTGTGTTCAAAAGATGTGAGCTGCGCTACACTTTGTATAACAGGCGACAATCATGCCCTAGCGAGCCTGGCTGCCTGGCTACCTAGGTACGTCGTTCTCTGGAACCGCAGCTGCGCTTAGCCATCCGTGCTGCCCCAAGATGAGTGCCAAGCCCCCATCAATCTTAAGCGACAAGCGCTTCTACACTTGGTTTTGCCTGCGCGTTGATTCTCTTCACCACCTCCCGTCAACAATCTTCCTACAGCATTCAGAGACCCGGCTAGCCTAGGGCAAAGGTATGGAATATACCAGAGGATCCTCGAGTCCGTGCCCATCGTGTCGCGAGTGGGTGATAAGGCATCGCCTACATCATCTCCAACATACCCATGCCCTTCTTCACTGTCCTGCGGCGAATGTTTTGGGCTTCATATCGACCATGTGCCTGCCTCGAGACGGACCTCCGTGAAGACATGAATCCGGTACAAAGCTCTGCAAGTTTGTGACTTTCCGACCGTTGGGCCAAGACAAGACCAGTCAGATGTGAAGCCAGAGAAGAGTTTCTGAACGATAAGCATGTGGCGGGTATGGAGTCTTTGAGTCTTATCTGTGTCCCGAGAGGACGGATGGTACTCTTGGTCGAGACTCTCCCAACTCTTTGGATCTCCTCATCGTCGTCCTCCTCCTCAACGCCTCTCATCGGCAACGGTAACTGACGGGGATTGCCCTCCAGTGTCAAAAGGCTGATGGTTCAATTGCCGATCACTTGGAATCTTTTCCGTCTTCCCCGCAGGCCGCACATTCTCCAAAGTCTCTAGCACCATTCAGTCCTTGTTACTGCTTCCCCGATCAATACGAGAACTCTGTCTCCTGGGGGCCTCGATTCCACGTCAATCACTATTCTCCTTAAGCTTCAGACGGTCATCTTGGTGCCGCAGTCCGCGACTTGGACCTGATCTGATCCTGCCACCTGGTCATCATCGCCAGATATTAACCGGCAGAACCACCGTCCTAAGTGGACTTCAGCGTGTGGGGTAAGACCGGGCAACTGTCACCCTGGATCGAATCCAGCTCTGTACGACATTCAGCCATCTCGAGTCTTTCGAATTCTTTCCCATCCAGAATTCCAGCACTGACCGCCACCCCAAAAAGCAAGTTTGGTGAACCTGAACGGCAATCCTCAACCCTACATCCGCCCCCCTTTATGTGCTACTTCTTTATATCCCAACCCTCCTCCCCAGTAAGTGACCGGTTCTTTTACTCTTCATCTCTCTTATACTTGACTTGCTTGAACCCCACGCACTATTCCTGTCGCTCATTGCCTTTGTTTGCTCGCGTGTCTCCCCCCGGCACTAAGCGCCGTATCTCGTGTTCGCTTCAACCGTGACATCACCCGTTTGCTTTGCCTGACATACGCCGCCATGCTGTCGACAGAACGATCGAGTAGACCTCATCCCTTTCGGCACCCTCATCGACCGATTTCTTCAAATTACGGGGCCTCTGCACGAGCCATGCAAAACGGGACCGATCACCTGGAACACATTTGGATCATTACTGGTCCTGCAGGATGTGGAAAGACTACGGTAGCTCAGCACCTTGCTGCTGAGTTGTCGTTACCCTACATCGAGGGTGATGATGTATGCGCCTCTGTCCTCGATTTGTGTGCGTCTAGACTAAATAAATGCACAGTATCATCCTACTGCCAACAAGCAAAAAATGGCCTCAGGAATCCCGCTGACAGACGCTGACCGCTGGGATTGGCTGATCACCCTCCGAGAAGAAGCCATCAAAAGGCTTCAAACCTCCAATTCCGTCATTGTCACATGTTCGGCCCTGAAGCGCAAATATCGCGACGTCATTCGCGTCGCCAACTACGATCATCCGTCTGTCCAAGTCCACTTCATCTACCTCAAGGTTGACGAAGTAACGCTGCAAGCGAGAGTGGCTGCGCGAGTCGGTCACTACATGAAAGAAGGGATGGTGCACAGCCAGATGGCCACGTTGGAGGAGCCGGAGGAAGAGCTTGAGTGGGATGTCATGCAAGTCGATGTGAGGGAGGATAAAGAACTGGTCAAGCGACATGCACTCGAGCTCGTGCAACGCAAGTTGAAAGAATATGATGAGCTGGCAGTGCCGCAACAAGGCCAGTGACGGCGTATTGGGTGCAAGTCAGGGATTTGGCTGGCTTTGGTACTGATTGGAACATACTAGGGTGAGCAAATGATTTGAGCAAGGGCGCAGGGCGTTAGGCAATGGGTCGGAGTCAGACCTTGATGACTGGCAAGAAAGAGACCAACATCTGCAGTGTACTTGTAAGCGATAGCAAGGGAAGGAAATACACCAAGAGGGCCGGAGTAGCCAGGGCGATGGGTTTGGGCGCCACTCTTTTTCTTGGGATTGCGACAAACACCGTGAATGAGAAAATCTTCTAGCTTGGGTGAATCGCCGCGGAGGATCTTGCGTTATAGCAACGGAGTGAGACAAAGTCAACCCAGCTTTCTGAGAGAGACAAGAAAGCAAATTCTATCTGGTCATTACGCTCTTTATTCTCAGCCAGACCATCGACAGACCAAGTCGAGGCTATTGAGCCATCATGTGCCATCAAAGTGATTCTATCGTCTGCGCTCCCCCTCAATGTCCAAGTCAGAAAAAAAGATTGCTGCTTCGCTTTCCCCCGTAGTTTGTTGTCCAGAAAAGCACTGTCCACTGTACTTGTATGTACATTACATACGTACATGATATTAAGAGCAAGGTTATGTCCCCGTTTTCAGGCATCAATCAATCAATCAATCAAATCCATCCAGGAAGGAAGACATGGTGGCCA